AGGAGCTTCTCATTGCATTCCCTTTCGTAATCGGCCTGAGAGACGCCATGATTAGAGCCCACGTAACACAAGGTAAAGGGAAGTAACAGTATCTACCTTCTGGCCAGCCTCTTTGAATGCCTTCTGTTCGAAGGTCAAGGCAGCATGCGCAGCATTCTGCATGTCTATACGAGGCTGGATTAAACGCAGTGAGGTGATCCTAGGAGGTGATGGATTAGCGTAGGCACCAGCCACTTCTTAGGGAATGAAAGGAGGGGGAGGGGTGCAAGTGAATTTATTTGAGTCAGGTTAGTGACGACAGGGATGCGCATGGTGGGAACCTACATTTGGTACACCTTGAGTGCTCGCTCTCTGATGGGAACATCCGCTCGCCAACCGGAATATTGACCCTGTGCCTGCAGCGCCTGTGCGACTTGCTGGAGGATTATTTGGTTATTCTCAGGTTTTGTCGGAAGTTGCATTTGGCCATGCGGCTTAACTCCGCCATTCATGGCCCCGCCAACATTGGGGAAGTTTGCCGGATTCATGTCAACAACCCCCCTCAATGGGGATCGAGGAGTAGTCCGCGCAAGCCGTCCGTGGGTGTCAGCATTCGCCGGCGTCAATGCCAAGCGCTACACTATGCGATAGACGAAATTGTAAGTCAAAGTAGACGGGCGCTCTTCCAGCAGACGTCGTCGGTGCGAGAGAGAAGTGGGATGAGACCGGCGGTGGGGCCTGAGGGGGCACGAGAGAAAGGAAAACGGGAAGACGATGCAGATGAGTCTCGTCGCAGGTTGATCGCGTCCGAGACTGTTGAGTTGGTTGCGGCGTGGGCTTTCGCTGTAAATCCAGGTAGGTAGATGGGGGTGAAACGAAAGAAGACGAGCAATAGGAACAAGCACGGGACGGCGGTAGAACACGGGGGACCAACGCAGCAGGGAAACAAGGCGTTCGGGCACCAGTGTTCAGACAGAGCGGTTTCGTTGGCAGATGCCCGGGGGGAGTGGCTTGGGGGGGGGGTTGTCAGACTAAGCAGGATTGAGTCCGGTGGATGCTGGATCAGTGACAGGGATGTTGCAGTGGCACTGGGCCAGTGAGTGCAGAGCCGTTCGTCTCGATGACTATGGAGCTTCCCGGGGCTCTAAGAGTTGGGAAGATGGGTGGCAGGACGGGGAGAAATGACGAGGTAATTTCGGAAACCTAAGCGGGAAGAAGGAAAAATGAACAAGTTAGGATGTTGCTTCGATATTACAAAAGAAGAACAAGAAGACGAAGAAGAAGAAGAAGAGAAGAAAGAGAAAGGCAAAAGCATCCAGCAGGGCAGTAAATTTCCAGCGTTCTGGTTTGGCAGTGAATGAATGCAGAAGTGCGCAAAAAGCCGAACGGTCGGAAAGAGGAGGACGCTAGAGTCAAGAAGGGGATCATCATACCTGAGTTTACAGTAAGACAGGTAACCCGATAACCAGCTGCACGGTGGCGTGTTCGACAAGCGTGTCAGCTGGGAGGGCAGGATTAGATGTAGAGAAAATGAGACGAGGAAAAAGGAAAAAAAAAGTGCCGAAGAGAATAGTGATAGTAATAGCAATAGTTTAAAAAAAAGAGAGAGAGAGGAGGGGTGTGTGGTCAATGAGAAAGGAAATAAACAGCCAGAGAGGAATCGGTCTGAGAAACTCGAGTGGTAAAGAGAGAGTGAGTGAGAGGGTGGGAAAGGCGGAGATCGCGAAACCAGGGAATTAGACTAGGAAGGGAGGAATAGCCGGGTTATGAAGAAGGTAAAATTGAGTGGGTAAAAAACAAAAAGAAAAAGGAAAATATAATAAGAAAAGGAAATCGAAAATAATAAGATAATAAAAAAAGGAAGGGAAATCTTTTGAAAAGAAAATATGAAAAAACAAAAAATAACAACAGAATATAATAACCTCGACAAATCCCAATATATGGGTAACAAAGGGGAGAATGAGGAAGATAGAGAGGGGGGGTTGTGGTTAAGGGAGATTGAAGGTGGGAGGAGGAGGAAGCAGGCAAGAAATGTTGAAGATCCCGCTTGAAGGAGGGAGAAAACGAGCGGGCAAGAGGGAGGAGGAGGGCAGGCGATGCTGTGCTGGGGGTTAAGGAAGTCTAAGTTTGGGTGATGGTAACGGTAAGGTAATTGAGCAATTGATGGGAGTGGTGTGCCTAAGGCGCGAGTTTGGGTTAGTGTGGCCGAGAGGAGCCAGACTAACAGGTACTAGACTTCCCAAGGCCCTTCTTGGGGATCTGCCCGTTGGTGCTCGTCGTCGGTCGGGCAAGGTTAGGGAAACTTAATTAGTCCCTCAACTAGGACCAAGTGGGTATCTTTTCTACTTGCCGTAGGTCCAGAGTGGGCTGCCTGCTTAAGGTACACCCTCTTCCCGTCGCTTGGTATTTTAAAAAAAGAGATGTAAGTAAAAGCAATAGATACTTCTCCAAAGAATCATTACCAGTATGTAGTCTTAAGTAGAAGTAACTATCTAACTAAATGACTAACTAGTACTTTGTATCGAATCAATACTCTTCTTTATTCTTTCATCCAATAAGTCAATGTATTGACTGTCCCTTTCTTCTATCTTCTGACGCAGTCTCCATCCATGGATTCTTCCTCACAAGATAGAAGAAAACAGAGTTGGGTGTCGTGCAAATGACGGCTGCAGAGATGGGGGGACGACCAAAGCGGGCCATCTTTTCCTCGGTACCATTCCCCTGCCCATTTTCAGTTCATCATGACTGGCTCTGACTCTTGACTGATTGATTGAATGACTGACTGAAGGTGACTTGAACTAACTTACCGACTTACTTACTACTTACTTACTAACTATCCGTCTACTTACTAGTACCGTATTGGCCTGGTCCGGGTGACTGGCTGAAAGGGACGCAAGGTCTGTCAGGCCAAGAAATGTTGGTTTCGCAGACCTTCCGCATCGAATCAATGCTTCATGTTTTTTTCTTTCTTTTCCTCTCATTTCTTTCTTTCTTTTTTTTTTTCCTGTTCTTTTCTTTTTTCCTCTTTTTTCACCCTACTCTTCCAATGGTCTCAATATCCCGCACAGGGGCCGACCATTCTGGTTAGTAGTACGTAGTACACAGCCTGAAGGAGTAGTCGGTTGGTCAGGTCCCCTCCCCCCTCCACCCATACCTTCACCCAATTAGTGTGCATGAACCTTTGGAAATAAAAATGTCTCTTTTTTTGTCTGGATGTTTCCGCATTGAATACGGATGTCCTCACACCTTAAGCGACGAAATATCCACCGAGTCGTTAAGTGGTCTACCAAATGGGAGGATGTCTCTTCTGTATAATTATGAGTATTACTACGAAAGCGGCTGCCTGGTTCCATCCATAATTCCTACCGCTACTCAATCGGACTTTCTAGAGGCGCGTGTGTACAAATGCCCCACTACTGGCAATCCCTCTGGTTCCGTGGGACGATAGCCTACCCAGGGACTAGATAGATAGCAGTCTACTAGTAGATAACCTGCACTAATATTCAAAGAGGGCGAGCTGAAGTCAGATGAACTAACTGCAATCATTCTCAGCTTGGGTCCACTGCATTACAGCCAAAGTCATGTCAACTGAAATGATCGATGTTCCTGCGTCCAAATAATTTTTTTTTCAAGTAGGTAGGAATCCCAACAGGAGTCTGAACCAAGCTGTCTCTGTCTGTGCGGATGGAAGTGCGGTAACAAGGACCGTCCTACAATACTTGATCTTTACGCTCCGGTTGTTGCTTTCCGGTCTATCCATTGCTAGCTCAATAAAGTGAGTGTCTACCTTGCAGACACTGAACCAAATGAAGTAATAGCACATAGCGTCCGTACGCGGCAGACCAAAAATGACTACTAAGTTCCGATGCGCGAATAGAAGCCATGGCCATCTGCCAGTCGACCGTACGACCTACTCACTAGGGCGACTGTGGGTGTGTCAATGCTGTCTCCCCCCTTCCAATCCATTTTTCGTCATTTTCCATTTCTCATTTTCCATCCCTCAAATCAGATTACTATAAATGTAAACATGTTCCACAACACTTTCTTCACCTCACAGTTCCCCTGATCAAGACGAAGTCAAAGCTAACATCGATATCTCTGCGTTCAGAGATCTTGTTCATGAGCCTTGGGGGAGTGTTCTTTCTATCTTTCTACAACTAAGGACAGAGTTTGGGTGGCGGGTAGAATGAACTGGTAAGGTGTTCCTTCAACCTTTAAAGTAGAAAGAGGAAAGAATATGTGAGCAGGGAAAGCGGCGGCTGAAACACGCGGTGCTTCGGGCTGGTCGGGATCAGTATTGTATTTGCATGCCGGACTGCACTTCATAGGATGAGGTATTAACCATGCCACTCTACAACTCTGAAAATATAGGGCAGTCATGTTCTAAGAAAAATCAAGCAATGAAATGGGATGATATATCTCATTCCATAACACCCCAGCGTGAGAACTCCCATCCTTCCCGTTTCAACTTCCCCCACGGGTGACCGACCAGGCACGGAGTCGATCGCAGGCACCGCCGTGATCATCCGTCCGTATCCATCGGGCTAGTGTCGAATGCGGGCAAAAGCGTCAGCCAAGTGGACCTAACTAAACAGTGCCTTAAAAGTACTCGTCCGCCTGTTGCTTCTTTTAGCAGCGGGACACGTCAGGTGATACCACGTGACGCGGGTGCTGTCGTCACCAGATGGATGCACTTTGATTAGCATCGACCAACAACGACGAGCTTTGGGAAATGAGATGATCCATAAAACTGTCCTCGTTTCCATTATCACCTCTCTGTCTGTCCGGTCCCTTTTTTCCGCGTCCTGTCTAGCCCCCAAAACCTTCTTTGCATGCTTCTGCAACCCCCCTGGATCTCTTGGGTCAAACAGTCTCTCTTTTTAAGTTGACTTACGATGATTATTATTGATTGATTGACTGATCCGATCGATCAAGACCCTGGATTACCCCGTACTGCGACTAGTTACTCCTACTACCTCCTTCCTCCGCTGCCGCATGTCGAACGCCCCTCCAGAATCGCCATGATTTCCGCATCACCGGTTCCCGTGGGGTCCAGCGTCTTTTTTACTTTGGCCCTCCTTACGATCTCTGTGCTAGTTTTGTTACTTCTGCGACGCTTTCTCACTCTCCGCGCGACTCCGGCCTACCTTTCCATCCCCGTCTTCCTTGCACTCGCGCTTCCGGCCAGTGTAGTTCTTCTAGTACCAATTGATCTAGCATCGAGCTCGCGCGATGGCGGAGGCCCCACGGCCATCTGGCTACCCGACCGTCTAATTCTCGTCTCCTGGCGCATCGCTTACTGGCTAATCTTTGTGCTGACATGGTAGGTGATGTGCAGCACGATGTGTCCGATCGCAACCGTCACAATCTAGATCAACCACTAACGCTTTACTTCCTCTCAGGGCCATCCTTCCTTTACTCGGAGAATACATTGATTCGGGCTACCGTGATCCGAAAGGTCGCATTCAATATTCCATTCGCTCCAATGCGCGGTACCAACTGATTGTTCTGTGCTGTGCAACGGTCGGATTAATCTACATCTCGATCCAGAATGGTTTTGAATTCACCTCGATTAAGACGCTAGTGATGGCTCTTGCATATGTTTGGGGTCTGGTTCTGGCCATCTATCTGATGGGTCACGGACTTGTGTCCATTCCCCGCACGCTCTTCCGTAACTCCAACGTCAGTGGTCGTCTGCGGAGAATCCAAGCACATGCTCCGAAACTGCACGACCGTTTGATGGACGCCATTAATGACCTGGAAAGCTTGGAGTCGCAAGTTGCTCAATTGCAGCGTCGCAAAACGGGCACCGCTCGCGATTTTCAGGAATGGATTGATGAATTGGCAGAGACCTCGAACCCGCCCGAGCTGCGTTCGGGGCTCTTGGAACATGCGGACGGGCCCGGCACTATCCCTGCCGTCATTACTGAACGTTACCTTGCGGACTTGACCCGACGTCTTCAGCGCGCTCGGCATCAGAAGGCTCGCTTCGTCGATGAGTGGGATCGCTTGGTCCTATCCGCAGCAGACATGCAGGCAATATTCAATGCGTCGGCATCTAAGAAGCTCGAGTTTATTCACTCCCCCCATCGAGCATCTTGGCTCCCGAGCCTGAACTTCCTGAGTCCCTATATGCGCTACCACCTCTATGTGCATGTCATTCCAAACGTACGACTTGCACTAGGCGCAGTTTTCTCGGCGGCCTCCGTGTGCGTTGTCTGGTCGGAGTTGGTCAAGTCCTTGGCGCCTCGGCTATCCGTTGTGACGCTTTCTATAGTTTCTTACCACAAGGAGCCTGCGCCGGTCGACTTTGGGCGCCAATTGATTGCCTCTGCTTGGCTGCTGTACATGTGCTCGGCAGCATTAGTGGGTGTCAACGACGCCAAAGTGTGGGGCAACCGTGCTTTGGTCCGCCGAAACACGTACGGGGAGAGCGCCTGTTGGTATGCGGGGCTAGTCGCCAGACTGACAGTTCCCATCGCTTACAACTTCTTGACCTTTTTGCCTGCGACCGTCCGGCAGAACACTACTTTTTACAAGTTCTTGGGCCGGTTCATTGACCTTACCCCGCTCGGAAAGGGCTTTGATTACTTCTTCCCGGTCTTCATTCTGGTGCCTATCGGTGCCACCCTATTCAATCTCTACGGTCGCGTCCAGAATATCTGCAGCTGGGGTCTTCTGGAAGAAGAAGACGATGATCTGGAGAACAACCCCGGTGGCTACGGACTAGGTGGGTGGCGAGAGGGGCGTGATCTTATCGACCGGGAGCTCAACGGCCTCGGCTCTTTGGGACTCTCCCCTCGTGGCGGTCGGTCACCTCGCCCGTCCAGTCGCATTGACGATGACACGCCAGCATTCTCCTCCTCTCGCACCGCGCTGCTGGAGAATTCTAGAACCCCTCGGGCCTCCAGAGGTACACCCGCCACGACTCCGTTGATGGAAGATGAGGATGAAGATAACTTTTTCCAGTCTTTCGCTCATCGAGTGAGGAACACATTTGAAACCGCCAGCAAGCCCCAGTGGCTGCAGGGCGACTCCTTCCGTCTCCCCAGATGGATGGGCAGTGAAAGCAATGAAGGTGATAGCGGACTGGCAAGGTGGTTTGGTGGTCGACCAGCACCTGGCGGAGTCCGACTGTAAGAACACTGACCGGTCGGTAATGTAACCTGACTTGCTGCATGGCGAAGGCGTTGCTGGTAGACACTTTTACATGGTAATGTTTATAGATGTACATAGTATATATAGCTCTCAATGACAGTTTTGCGCTTATCCTGTATACTTTGTTTGTAGACTACCCCAGCCGCTTCACATCTAGCCACAGTTAGTATCCAGCATCATACTGATTTCTCAATGCAGTACTAGCGATACCCAACAAACACCATGAATATCACAGTAAGCATCAGCATCAACCTTTTATCTTCATACTATCTCATCTCATCTAGCATGAGCTCTCCCGATCACAACGGCTGCGGGGAACCCTACTACTAGATAACCTGCTACCCACTCACCTGTTTTAGTGCCATGTCGATCACGCTGCAGGAGTCAGGGTAAGCAAGCAAGCTAAATCCACCATGTCCAGCATGATACAGCAGGTAGGTAGGTACCTGACACCTGCTGGTCATATCGAATGCATATGCATATCACTTAGACAAGGGGGCGTGCTTACACAGGATGGATGGATGGATGGATGGATAAGCCTGATGAACGTTCTAGGCAAATGGTAAGAGGAATAGCACCACTCTTTCACTTGAAGGTGGTATCCTTTGAGATAATAGAACACTAACCCCAGGTGAAGAACTCAACATACTACATACACACAAGGCTTAACTTCTCCAAACTCACTATCCAAATAAATGTCTATCCGATCGCTGTTCTCGAGCCAAAGTTTGATCTAACTACTGTATTCTGCTGGTACCTAACTATCATACTGAACGAGCTCTGACGGGCGGGGTCAATGTCCTGTCCTCGTATTTGTAGCGTTAGTCTGACATGGATAGCCAGACTTAGTTCTGGATCATGTCGATCGGTAGGTAAGTAACTTTCATTGTTCACCTCTAGAACTGTTTTTGCCACTCAGCAGCTGAGGGTTTGCTGCCTGTAAGGCTCCAGGAGTACAAAATATTAAATAAATAAAGGGTTGGTGTTTTTTTCTGCGAAAATGAAACCCAATCTGACGTGCGCGGTGCATTGCCACGTGTGGTCGATCAAATGGGCTGGTAGCCTATGAAGGAGAGGGGGTAAATGTAGGGTCTTGTGTGTAGGTTGGTTGTGTTTGGTCTGTTGGGTGTTATATTGAAGTAGTACTTTGATGCGGTATGTTTCTCCAGTGGTGATATCGTAGTATAGATAGTATGAGTATGCCTGGGCGGGGAGAATATAGATTTGAGTCACTGGCTTGGCAGATTATGCTTTTCCCCTGTAAGCCTTGAAGACCACATGGTGTGGCTCGTGTTGTTGTTTGTCGTGTGAGGAGGAAGGGGGAAAAAAGCAATGAGAAAGGCACAGCAGCCTTGTCAGGAGATCATTAGTAGTGGTAACTACTACTGGAGGATATATGCCTGTCTGCCTTGAGCAACAAGTAACTAGTAAGTAGTACCACCCAAGTAAGTTGACTGCGCAACTCCGATTGCGGGCAGCAGCAGCAGCTCCACCGCAGGATTTGCGGCTGCGGCAAAAAAAAAAAAAAGCCCTCTCCGCCTTATCTGCCTGGTCCGGAGCTAAAGTGGCCATCTTCCATGACCTCAAACACGCCCTTCCCCTGTCGTCATCCCCCTTCATTGCCTCGTGCCCTGGCCGTCAATCCATGAGCCAGCTGCTCTCGCACATTTCTCTGTCCTCGCTGGGCGAGACGTGTGCATCCTACTTAGACCACGTCACCACCAACCTTCCTCCGTCCTTGCACACTTTCCACCATCAACTCATCGCCACGCTCTCATCAGCCAAAGACTCGACTCCCCTGCGCCTGCTTACGCCTTGGCCCGAACTACTAGCGGACCACCCGGACGCCGCATACACCACACCCGTCGCTTACACCCTCATCGTCTGTACAATTGTCATTCTCGTCATGTCCTGGCGCACTCCGTTCGCCAACTTCTGGCGCCGCGGTTACACCAACGTCGACAATACCCCCCAAGTCACCGACAACGACTACAGCTACATCACACAAGATGATATCGTCAACCCACCCGCAAACACGTATCGCAATCAATACGCAGGAGCGGAGGACACCGAGCCCGACACTCTTATTCTGAAACACCGCAAGGAAAAGTACGATCTGCACTTCCCGGCTTACGCTATCAACGACGGCGCCCTCAGCGTGGGTCAACTGAGACAGCGGGCAGCGGAGGCGACGCGCACCCCTGATCCGAAGCGGATCAAACTGCTCTACAAGGGGAAGTTGTTGGACAACGACTCGCTGCCGTGTCGGTCGGAGGGTCTCAAACAACAGTCGGAAGTGCTATGTGTCGTCTCCGGAGTGGAGCCGGGGGAGAGCTCGCCCAGTGAATTGTCCGAGGCGGAGGCTGACAGGAACGCGGAATCCGCCCGTCAGGAGGGATCTAGTCGCAAGAAGTCGAAGAACAAGAAGCGCAACAGCAAGAATAAGAAGAAGAGCGGAAAGCAAGGCGACGGTTCAAATAGCCTCCCACCTCCCGCCGAAGAACCTCCGCGCCCGTCCAACGGAACCGGCATGCCGCCCCCAGCACCCAATTTGAAGTCGTTCAACAACCCGATCGACCAAGTGAACGCCCTGTCGTCGTATCTGCAGCGGGAGCTTGTTCCTCTCTGCGAGGACTACATCACGAACACACCGGCGGATGCCAAGTCACGCGAGTTCGAGTATAAGAAGCTGACGGAGACGATTCTGGCGCAGGTTCTTTTGAATGCGGACAACATCAACCCCGACGGTGTGCAGGAAATCCGTGATGCGCGCCGGGCTCTTGTAAAGTCAGCTCAGAACGCGCTCAACAGTCTGGACCAGGTCAGCAGGACATAAGACGTCGCGGCTGGCAAATTATGCAACTTTTGCTTTTTCTTCTGTACATGAGCGATGGGAATATTCCAGGGAAAGATGATCATAATAATACAACGAAATAGAGAACACATTAACCTTTTGCTATCTTCATTTGCTTTGCTTTGTTAGGGTCTGTCTGTCGGGTGCCATCCAGGAGCTACTTATCTAGAACAGATAGACCCCCCTCGTGCATCGAGACCATTACCACAACTGAGTTCATGCTGCACATACATACAAATGCTGCGGGTTTTACCTATGATTTGCATGGGACGGCGTCCGGACGATAAAATTGAATAGGCTGGTGGTTGGGGGTTGGTTCCTTGCAGGATAATGATTGCGATAGTCCGTACAAATCAGTGTGTTTCTACCACTTGCTTACTTACATATATTTCACACATACATAAGTACATGTGGACCACGTGTTCAAGTAAGTAAGTACTGAGTAAGTAGTATTCGGATGCGGTGAAATAGATCCTGAGCGCAAGACACTCTCCGAGCCAACCACAACACTCACTCATGGTCGGTCAGGTCAATCAAGGATATCCTGGTTAAGACACAACCCTCAAAGTTCAGGATGACCTTGGTCAAAACAAACCTTGACGTTAATGTTAAGCCTGTCAGCGGCCGTGGCGTAGACCACCGAGCAAGCCATCTGGTGATTAGAAGTTGCTGGTTGGTAATGGGCGATACTGGTACTGTTTGGTCATGGGTTGGGTTGGGTTGGGTAGGTTAAAGGCAAGGAGGTTGTTACAGGTAAGTTGGGAATTTACCCGACTTTTGATGGTGAGGCTATCAGATTGGAACTGGGGATAACAACTTCTATTTATGATTTATTTTTTTGTAAAGAATTGAGTTTTTGCTTCTACCTCTGTAATGTGCAGAGAGAGTGATAAGAGTCATGGTTTCTTATTTTAATCCCGCGGGACTGTAACTGGCAGGGATTGGGTAGATCATACTAACGGTGTCTACTAGTACAGCCAGTACAGTACTTAGTAGTGGAAGGTGTGTGATGGGAGATCTACTACTTCCTACTTACCAGGCGGATCACTGAACTAGTGGCCTCGCTTAAAAATGCAAGATGGGAGAGATGTATCACAACGCAATCGAGAACAGAAACTCAAAGATGTGACTTGAATTAGCCTCGGTTGGCGTTCTCGATGTCATATCGACCCGTCACTGGGGAAATTGCATATTGTATCGATCCAGCTCCTCGGTGCTCAAGGCAGACAGGCAAACAATAGGCAGAACTTGGATCTCAATATACTGAATTCCCTCAATTTATGAGAAAAAAAAAATATTTATAGTATGTAGGAAATAAGATGGAAGCAATGTGAGGGCTCAGCTGCAGGGTTTGGCAAAAAGTACAGAAATACTGTAGATAGACTGCACACATGGACGTTGACGGGGAAGACAGGGAAAAAAGAACAGTTTTCGGTGCCAGTCAGTTGGGTAACGATGGATCGACAGTGAGATGTACTCCTTTTGGGTTTAGTTTAACACAGTTTAGTTCTCGAGGCAATTGCTGGGAATTGTTCTTTTCTTTTTCTAGTCGGCGATGGTCGGAGTGATTGGCCAGACCAGTTCTAGGCTTGTCTGATAGTCACCGGGAAGCTAATCCTGAAGGAGATTGGGACTTTTTTTCCCCCCGTGTCTCTCTCTCTCTCTGTTCTGCCTCTCTGTCTTGGTTCTCGACATTATTCTCTTTCTCTCTCTCCCTCCCGTTTCTCCTCTTCTCCTCCCCTCTCATCTTTTAGCCCTTCTTCTTCCCTTCCATTCGGCTTCTTCTGGGTTGGGACCCTTGGACAGTGCACTTCCTCTATTCTTTTCTTCCTCATCTTATACCTATTTACTATCTCTATTGAGATTTTCTTTAATCAGCTCCCCCCGGAGTGTCAACGAATCAGTTTTGGCGCCACGGGTCCAGCCACATCTCTTTGCAACCACTCCTTTTCCTTGGACTTCTTCCTTCCCCTCCTCCTCTTCTTCCTTCTCCGCCTCTCCTCTTTCTTCCTCTTCTCCTCCTCCCAGTCGTTTGACTCTTGACTCTTCTCTGCCCCTCATCGAAGCTCATCCATCTTCTTTTCCTATCCATTTAAACTTCCCCCCTAATTCATCTACCTCAACACCATTCCATTTTCTTCCAATCCCCCGACCGGTCCTGATTCTCGGATCCCGACACTGCTAGCCGTCTGCCAACCGCCGTCGGCCTATAATAGTGCCCAGCCCGGAGTTACGTCCACGGTACCCATCCCGCCGGTCCCTGACTTCCTCTTCCACCCCCCCGAAAATTACATATTGCGCTGCAATTTTAAGGCTCCGGCTTCTCCACTTCCCTGGCTGTTTACGATTTCCTCCTTTCGGAGCATCTCTCGTGTTCCGCTTCTTCCCCCCCCCCCCTTTCCCACCGACTCGTGCCCTCCATCTCCCAACCACCTACCCCTCACATCGTACATACACTTGTTGGAGTCTCGGCTTAGGGGGTCTTCGAGACAAACGGTCCAGCACGATTGCTGTTTCTGGTCTGTGCGCTACTGGGATGGCCTGATCGGGGAACAAGACGGGAAGGGCAAAAAAATTATTCACCTAGTGATCAGACTCTCTTTAATCATCCTGCACGCACCTTCGCTGCACCACGGGTTCCAGCTGGCCTGGCCTTGACTGAATCTTAATAATTGCTGTTGGAATGGCGGGGACAGCTACCGCGACTTACACGACAGATGTTTGGACGTCACCCAGCGTAGATGGGGGTCAGTGGGAGTACGCTGTCCCGATTCGACAGGATGTAAGTGTGTTACACTCCCGACATACCTTTCTGCGGTGCTCTGATGCAATCGCGCCGATCGTTCGGGCCTTCGCGGGCCAAAAGCCGGACTGGCATGCTAACCTGGGTTTCGGTAGAGTACTAAGCATCGCTCAAAATCACGGTCCTCCCACGATTCACACGCCAGGTCCAGGGAGCGTAATTCCAAGGGCTCTCGCAGCTCCTCGCTATCGCGTCACGCCTATGCTCACGAGCACTTGACCTCCCGGGGCCGCCCACAAGCTAGCCACAGCCGACGCGGAAGTGAAGCAGGCAGCTCACGCTCGATCTACGGACACGATGTAGCCAGTCGTAGCGCCGGCAATGTCAAAGACTCGACGGATTCTCTTTATCGAAAGGGGTCGGTGAGGCACGGCGAGTGGCATGAGGGAATGGGCATGTATACGGACGAGATCGACCAGGACAATTGGATCCATCGCGACAAGCTGGCCAAGATTGAGAGTGAGGAGCTGCAGCAGGCCGCCATTCTGCTACAACGTCGGGCGGGTGAGGGCAACAAGACGCGCGCAAAGAACTACGACTCGTATGGAACACCTGCCAGCTCCCCACCGACCGAGCAACTGGAACCCTGGCCCAGTTTGCACGGCGATTCCCAGCTCCGGGAACATAGCGGGTCTCCAACCTTCCCAGAAGAAGGTGAAGAGCGTGGAAGGTGGGATTCTCGTCGACAGGAAGAGGGCATGGCCAATGGAGCGGCTGGCTTCTACCGCAACCCCGGACTTCGCAAAAGCTCTTCGCGGATACCCATTCCCTCGGGTATCCCAGTACCGGTCTCCCCCAATCCCGAGAACGGCGGACGGGAATTCTCCAAGCAGCGCAGCCGCGCGAATACCCACGGGGATGACGATGCTTTGTCCTTCGGGATGCCCCGTCGGGCTAGCGAGCCGATGTCGGTGGATTCTGCCCAGAACATTACTCCGGCAGGGAGCCGGCCTGGCAGTCGCGGGAACACCCTACAAAATGCGGCCGGTAGGAAGACCACCAAGGGCGGTGCTACCAATCGCAAGACGTCGGCTCCTCCGTCGACTACACGAAAGGCGACCCCGAGAAGCCGGGCACCGTCGAGCACGTTGCGGGCCACTAAAGCGGCCGAGAATCGTCCCATTAACCGGCCAGAAGGCGACCCGCCGTGGTTGGCGACGATGTACAAGCCCGATCCACGTCTTCCGCCTGACCAGCAGATTCTTCCCACACATGCACGACGCATGCAGCAAGAGCAGTGGGAGAAGGAGGGCAAGACGCCTACCACATATGATCGGGAGTTTGCTCCGCTAGCCATCGGGCCAGACGGGCCACAGCCCTCTGAGAAGCCGGCACCCAAGGAAGAGGAGCCGGAGCCGGAGCCGATCGAACAGAACGAAAAGGTGGAGAAAGAAGAAGTGCAAGAGCAGAAGACCCCGAACTTGGAGACACCGTCTAAGGAGTCTGGACGGCCGAACTCAGGCACGGGCTACAGCACGATGCCGCGGGTACATGAACCACCACAGGCGGCGCTGCAGCCAAAATGGAGCCCGCCAGTGGTGACTGCGCAGGAACCGCCGCCGAAGGAGAAGGGCTGCGGATGCTGCATCGTGATGTAGGGGGAGGACGCATTCGTTTTGAGTGGCATATGTCCGTCATTTAAGATACCTATTTCCTGCATTGTGGATTTGTTTTTTCAGCGAGCTGGGTGGTGTTTGATCTGACTAGGATTTTAATAGCTATCCACCTTTTACTTCTTGTCGTTCCTTGGAGACTTTTTACTCTCATTTGATTCCCTATCTGTTGATTCCAGTGTTTGTGCACCTGCATTGAGCGGTCATTACGACATCACGCGTCTTTCCTTTGAACATGCATTGATTTTCTTTGTGCATATCGTTATAGACAAAGTTCGCAATTATATTAAACATTTATTGCAAGTATACAACAACAGTATACATCCAACAATATACATAGTTAAGTAACCGTTCTAGAACCCCCCATATGACCCGTCATTAATAAGCCACCCCCCAGCACCCCCCCAGCACCCCCCATTACATAATCACCCTAGCGCACCTTGCGTAATCCGACCATCCGCTCTCCTCATTCCATCATTCATCCATTCAATTCATTAATTTATTCCATCCTATCTGATCGATTCCATCATCCCGCTGAAACCTTGATTAAACCCATTCCACCCAATCTTATAAATAACCCCACTTCCCCCTCCCCCTCCTCTTCTCTTCTCTTCTCTTCTTTTTAGATTAGACTACCAGTCAATACCGCCACCATTTCCTCCATCTTCACCCGTCTCTTCGGCTCTTTTGCCGCTCCTTCTCCCACCATGTCCGCCGCTGCTAAGACTAAGGCCCAGACCTTGATTAATGAGAATGGCGTTGGTAGGTACCCCCATCCCAGCATTGATTGTGTCATACATGATGTATTAGTGTAACGTTGTGTGGAGAAACCGATTTGCTAATATGTTATGGTATATAGTCGTCTTCTCCAAATCCTACTGCCCCTACTGCCAAGCAAGCAAGAACTTGCTGAATGAGCTCGGCGCGAAGTACACTGCTCTTGAGTTGGATCAGCTGCGTAAGTTTCCTTCCCCTTACCCTCCATTTTCTCTTGAGAGAGAGATATTCTTCATGGAAATCGTGTGCTGATATATGTGTGTGCTGTGTACAGCCGACGGAGCCGACCTCCAGGACGCCCTCCAGGAAATCTCCAACCAGCGCACCGTCCCCAACATCTTCATTAGCCAGAAGCACATTGGTGGTAACTCGGACTTGCAGAGCAAGAAGGGTGCGGAGCTGAAGGGGTTGTTGGAGGCTGCTGGTGCTTTGTAGATTCCATCCCATCTATGATTTGTCTGCGAAGCAGTGATAGGGGAGTAATGATAGATAATTGATTGGTGCTATCAGATCAGATCAGATCATATATAATACATACATACATACACTAAATACTCAAACATAAGAAATAATGTAGGGAGAGAGGGGGGCAGAGGGACGGATTATACAGTCCCAACCGGCCTCTCCACAACGCCCATAATCCCATCCACCACACTGCGTCTCGCCCCCTCACTCGAGACATTCTTCCCGGCCAAATAATTCAACCACACCAACCGACTCACCCTCTCATCCTTGACCCTACCCAAATACCTATCCGGCAGTGCATCCTTCCCCTCACCACCACCCTGAACCAACACATCCAACTGGCCCTTCTTCCCCCTGGCCAACACCAACACCTGTCCCTTAGGCACACTCTTCCTCTGCCCACCTCCAAAAAGGCCCTTAAACTCCCCCATAGCCTGACCAAACTCCTCTCCCTCAAACTCCCCCTTACCACCACCACCCTCAACCTTATTATACCTCTGCGCCCTACCCGTAATCCCCCTCACCCACCCATCCCTCAAATGCAAGAAATCCGTATTCCTCGTCGGCACAACCCGAAACGCCGTCCTCAACCCATCCTTCTTCAACAGCATATCCCACGCCTGCTCCCCCTTCTCCGCATCCAACAACAACTCCCTCAACTTCTCCCTCTCCATCGACACCAACGACGTCGCAGCCGTAGCCCCCACCTCATTATCAATCACCGACTCCGTGCCCTTCCCCGGAGGATGCACCGCCGTGCGCACAAGTCGCGATTGCAGCTCCGCCAAGTCCTCCTTCGCAACATACAATCCCACAACGTACACCTGGAAATTGAGGAATGAGACAGTCCGAATACCCAGTCCTAGGAGATGGTATTCCTCCTCGCCCTCACCATTACTCTCCACAGGCAAATCCGTCGCAGACGCAGGAGTATTATTATCCTCACTCTCCAACCACTTCGGCAGATGAATCACCGCCGGGAAATGCGGGATCGAGCTCGTCCCTGTCTCCACTTGGTCGGGGTTTCCGCTGGCGGATTGGATGTGCGTTAGCGTGGGCTTTGTGGGAAAGCCCGTGCTGGGGCCGTCGAGTTTGGTGCTGCCGCTTGTGGTGGTGGTGTTCTCGATTTCGACTCCGTCGGTGGTAGTGGTGGCGGTGGTTTGTTCCAGACCGAATACGTCCGCTTTGATCACCCCGTACATTCCGACGGCGCATACGATCATCCCCGTCGCGGAGATGTACATTGACCGTTTGCTCCGCGCGAGGTCTTGTTCGCGGCTGCGGGGCGCGCGGGCGGCGCTGCGGAGGGGGTTGCTGGCTGTGGTGCTGGTGGTGGAGCGGAGGGTGCGGGTTGTGCTGTAGAGGCGGGTTTTGGGGGGGTTGGTGGAGGCGTGAAGGTGTTGGGCGCAGGTGCGCCATTGAGCGCGGGCGGCGCGGAGGGAAGGGGGTATCGGTGGCATCTTGTTTGTTTGTGTGTGTGTTGTGTTGGTTGAATTGGTTGGGTTGGAGATGGATGTAAAGTCTGGAGTATGGGGATGCGGTGGAAGTGAGCGGATCGGATGATTAGGGACACGTGATTAGAGCTGCCCTGATTGGACGGTTGAGGTAGTATAGCATTTGGTGGGCATTGAGGTGGATTGAAGGTTACTATGCTATTTAATGTCCTAGTATAAGTACTATGTAATGATAATGTAGTTACTGCTACCGCTACTGCACCTCCACCTTGTACGTTCCTCCTCCGCTGACCGTCACTGTCGCTGTCGCGTTGGCATACTGCACCCCCCGGGTGATCTCCGTCCCGTCGATCTTGATAGATGGCTTTGCAGTGCCGACGAACGGCAGTGTGAGGTTTCCCTGGGTCCCGTGCGGAACCGTAAAGTCGAGCGTGTATCCCTTGTCTGTCTTTGACCATCCAGCCTGGAACTTTCCAAGCGAGGTCGTAAATCCACCCTCGGCGGACTGTAGATCGACAAACTGCGGGGCAATGCGCCAGGTCGCCCCCAGTGGAGATGTGACAGTTATCCCCACGATGTAGTTCGTCAGCGCCGACGTCGGTCCTGACGACCAGCCGTGCGAGTGTGACACATATGCGGTGTCATAGTAGTACCCGCGGTTACCGCGGTACCCGAACGTGCCGTTCTGTAGATAGCCTTCGATGACCGTGCTCTGTGTGCCGTTCGCGTTGTTGTAGTACCATCCCCAGCTACGACGGATTAGCTCCAGTGCTCGTTGTGGCTGTCCCACGGTCAGATGGCCCTGGATCTCGAACGAGGAGATGAACGGGGAGATGTTCTCTGGCAGTTCGGGCGCCACGGCTCCAATCGGGGTCCAGTTGTCCGTTAGTCTTTCAGAAATGCTGGCGGCCCGGTCCGCATCCACGACCCCGAAGAGCAGGGCCATGCTGTTTGCGTCCTGAGGGTGCAGGGTGGTGTCGGTGGCGTTGTCTTTGAATGCGCCGTAGGATTCGTCCCAGCAGTATTCGTTGATGGCTTGACGCAGCTTCTCGGCTCGGCTAGTCCAGGTGCTGGACAGGTCGGCTGAATCTCCGGCCCAGGTAGCGAGCTCTGCGCCTGTGTTGAGGGTGTGATACAAGCTGGGATTGTTAGAAGGTAATGAGTGCATGAGTAGGGCATTGCTCACATCATCTGCGCCTCGGAGTTGTTGTATCCCTGCTGCCATCTGGCCCAGTCGCGCGTGCCCGTGACGTTCAGCAAGCCGCTGGGATAAGTCACCTTGCCGTAGATGTAGTCCATAGCCTTCTGGTACCCCTCCCAGTTTTGCTCGAGGAAATCGCTGTCGTTGGTATAGAGCATGTAGTTGTAGGTCCCGACCATCGTCCACATGTGGTACGTGTCCGAGTCTTTTTGGCTCAGCGGCGGGCCAGACTCGTCGAATGCACCTGTCGAGTTGTTCTGCATAGCGTTAGTATCTGAGAAATAGCACAATCGCAATGGTGTGATCTTACCTGAGTGTCGTACATAACCTGCAGCGCATTTTTGACACTGTCCAAGTCGCCCAAACTCACAAACGCCGAAGGCACAGCAATGCCCATGTCACCCGGCCATACCGCACGGTCACGCTTCGCTCCGTCGACAATGATCGTATCACCAGGTCCAAGGGTGCAATTGTTCGCCCAGCCTTCGGCCATCGCCGGGATCTGGCGCCCCGTGTCGGTCGGCACCTCGTTCGTCTGCAGAGTGTAGGCACCAGTATACCAGATCTTGTTGAGCAAGTCGTCATTGGAGTGGAAGTACCCCTGGTAGGCCCTCAAATTGGACCAGGTAGGCTGGAAGCCGATCTCCAAGGTCACATCCTCGATGTGAATGGTGGAGTTGTCGCTGGTGATCAGGAAAAGAGTCAAATAGCGAAATCCACCCCGCAAGCTCTTATCCGGCATCACATAGTAGTGGCTTCCGGCTTCGGTGAAATTACCGTAGAGTGCACCATCGGGGCCTTTGAAGCCTCCATTTGACGAGTCCGACCACTCTCCGATATAGTTCTTCGCTTCGGTGAAGGCCACACCTAGTGCACCAGTGCCTGTGGAGCTGAAGTTTACAGAAACAATGCCGCCAACCTCTTTTCCAAAGTCATAAACCACCAATGACCCGTTTCCATGAAGTGCAAATGGGGTATAGTCTTCCGTCTTATCCGGTTGCGTAATGAGAAAGAGCTTCTCAGGGTTCAGAGTTCTCGACGATGGTGCGAAAATATTCTTCTCCCACGGCCCGGAGAAAGCGCTGTCGGTCGGACCAGAGCAAGTGGTGTTGCGCCAACAGCTTTGAGCAACTGAGAGAGGAAGTAGAGCGAGCACGCCCGACAAGAGCCTGTGGCAGCGCATGGTTGCTGTCTTGTCTGTTCCGCAGACTGCAGCACCAATTACCACACCGAGCAACATCCATTCTCCACCAGACACGCGGGTTCATATAAACGTCTCGGCTCGAGATAATGTTCCCCCGGGCTTTTGCCCAGAAAGCGAAGAGGGGTCGCTAGCTTCGAAGGATTAATATCGCTGGCGTGCTCGTGCGGGACGGATCGATTGGCTTAACGGGGCAGTCTGGGGTAAATTAGTCAGGTCGGTCTCGGCTGAATGGCGGATTGAATCAATCAAATATAAGCGAACAGGCAAGCTTTCTCACACGTTCAGGGGGCGACGTTGGTTGGCTGTGCAGCAGTAGGCTAGTGGGATTGCCGGCGTTATTGGTGGAATTTCCTACAGAGAGCCCGTCGATCGTGCATAAAGGCGTCATTCGAATGCCAGTGCATGAAGTTCTCCCCGGGTTTTCTCCGCACAGGGAAATTGAGGATATTAGTGGGATTTGTAGTTCGGTAGAAGTAGCACCGAAGTCTGGTCTGATCGTCCATCACCTCTAATGGAAGCCCCGGTCAGCATTCAATAAAGGAACCAATGCTCCCAGACACTTACAGCGCGCATCACCCGCGTTCATAATGCAACTAGCAGCTTCGGTTTCGCTCTTGCTTCTGGGGCTGGCCTCTGTTGGCCATGCAGGAAATGTGGAAAACAATCACAATGTCTGCACCGTGCGAGCAAACGGAGGCCATCGTGACGACGTCCCCAATATTATGGCGGCATTCGAAGAGTGTGGCAATGGAGGTACCATCATTTTCCCCGAAGACCAATCCTACTGGATTGCGACAAGACTGCATCCAACATTGAAGGATGTGGCAATCGAATGGCGGGGAAAGTGGACAGTAAGACTTCCTCAGTGCCCATCTCGTGACCTGTGAAACACTGATTCGGTCCAGTTTTCCGACAATCTTACCTACTGGCGTAACAACTCCTACCCAGTTGCGTTCCAAAACCACCATGCGGGCTTCATTATTAGCGGCGACAACATCACCATCAATGGCTATGGCACCGGCGGCATCGACGGCAATGGAAATACTTGGTACACAGCTGAGAAGGGCGACACACAGCCGGGGCGTCCGATGCCCTTTGTCTTCTGGAACGTGTCTGAAGTGGTTGTTGACAGCTTCTACGTCAAGGATCCGCCTTTATGGAGTATCAACATCATGAACGGGACTAATATGCGCTTCAACAACATCTACTGCAATGCCACGGC